AGGGCCGAGGTTTGCATCTTGTCACGGAATCATGGATTCAGCAACGGGGCCATCACGGCAACAATCCGGCTGCTTAGGGATCCAGACTTAGACCCTTCGCAGCTAGAGGGGTGGAACTCACACCGGGACCTGGAGCGGTTCGAGGCTTCATTCGAGGTGGGGGAGGAGAACGAGTGGGTTGTCTCCGAGATCCCGGTTGATCACGAGGTCGAGTTCTTGACGTTTCGGCACCGAAATGTGCTCTCGGTGAGGACCCCTGGTGCACGAATAATTCATGCTGTCCTATGCACGTTGCCCTCGTACCGAGCTTTCTTGCACGCCTTTTTGCGACCTTCCCATAAACTCCACAGGTACTTAAGGCGATGTACACACGTCAGTCCGCGATCCAGGGCTTTCAGACAAAACCTGCCCAGTGGAAGGTGGGCAACGTGCGGCGTTACAGCACGGCAATGAACACTGATTTCATGCTGCAGGCCCAGGTACGTGTCACCCACATCCTGGCATACGTTCGAGATCACCCGTCAGTAGCCCATAGGTGATCTACTAGCCCAAATCCCTCATGCATTGAATGCATGCTCTACAGGAACGCATCAAGGACCGTGGAGAGGCGTTGGGAATAATTCTTTTCAGCGATCAAACCAATCTCTCCAACAATGGCCGACAGACAGCCCACCCCGTGATGATGGCATTCGCAAACACGCCGGAGTGGGCAAGGTGGGCGGAGGGGGGCACGGAGATGATAGGCAATCTGCCTAACATTCCTGGTGACCTGTTCCCCGAACAGAAGTGTGCCGCCTTCCAAGATGCGCTGGACATTGTGGCAAACCCGCTCATGGAGACATCCCAGCTTGACGGGTGAGATGTCGTGTAGCAATGCAACGACTATGTTGTACCCCCCAGCATCCCCAGTGCGGCTCTCATCCTTGCATGCTACTTTTGCGGTTTCCAGGGGGGGGATACAGGTGGTGGATCATGCGGGGGGGGAGCACACGGTCTACCCGGTGCTCTATGCCTATGTGACTGATCACCCGGAGGGGTGCAAGGTTTCTTGCACGATGCAGTGCAAGTCCTTCAGGCCCTGCTCCATCTGCCTTGTGGATCGGGACAACCTGAACAAGGTCCAGCCGGACACTATCAACCGCACGGTGAAGGGACAGAAGCTCATCTACAAGAAGATGCAGCGAGCAGTACGAGCCAAGAAGAAGAAGGAGCTGGCCGCTCTTAAGGCCAAGTGGTCCACGCACCAAGTGCCTGTAGGTCGCCCATGCACTGCGTTTCCTAAGCTGCTGTAAGCTCCGTACCCGCATGCCATAACATTCCTGTCTTTGCATTCATGCCCTTGCATTCCTGCCCTTTGACCGAGTCCCATGCATCCCAACCCTTGCATTTCTGTGTAAGCAATCTTGTCTTTGCATTCCTGCATTTGCATTTGTATCTTTGCCTTCCTGTCTTTGCCTTCCTGCCTTTGCATTCCTGCCTTTGCATTCCTGTCTTTGCCTTCCCGCCTTTGCATTCCTGCCTTTGCATTCCTGTCTTTGCATTCCCGCCTTTGCATTCATGCCCCTGCATTCCTGTATTTGCATTCCTGTCGTTGCATTCATGCCCATGCATTCCTGCCTTTGCATTCATATCGTGTCTGCTGTGCAGTGTGTGCTTTGGAAGTGGGAGTTCTCAACCACTTCGTGGGGCAACATCTACCTTGCTCTTCCGCCAGACATCATGCACATGATTGAACAGGGCTTCTGGCTCCATGCGATGCGGTGCTTGGCTGCCAAGCTGACGAGGAAGGAGCGGAAGATCTTGCTTGAGTACGTAGTGCCCGGTTGCTCTCTCTTGCCCCAAACACGCTTGGCCATGGAGGCTCTCTTCCACCCAGACCACTCATCCATGCCCACCCGCTTTCTCACACTCATGGCAGGCGTTTCAACGCTCTGAAGGCTGTGACGCCGTCATTCCTGCTCAGGCTCCCAGGGGCGTGGATGTACTTCACTACGACGGCGGGTTTCGCAGCATCAGAGCACCGTGCTATGATGCAGGTGCTCCCGCTGATTCTGTATCTTCCGGGCCGCGACGACATCTACAAGGCGGTCCTGGCGATAACGAGTTGGTACAAGCAGTTCATACGTGCGGAGTACCACACCGACTCCAGCCTCAAGAAGATGGACGAGTCCGCCACAGAGTGAGTCGGCTCACGCACTGGGACATTTGGTTCCACTGTATATCGTCCCCACCCCGTGCACTAGTCATCTGATCCTTCCCTATTACAATGGTCCCCTGCTTTTACATCCCCTGGTCCCTCCTTCCATCCCCCGCTCCATCCTTCCATCCCCTGGTCCCTCCTTCCATCCACCGCTCCCTCCTTCCATCCCCTGGTCATTTATTCAGGCGGGGTCTGCCCATCCCGTTCTGCTCCCTCCTTACTCTTCTACTCTGCCCATCCCGTTCTGCTCCCTTCCTACTCTTCTACTCTGCCCATCCCGTTCTGCTCCCTCCTTAATCTCGTGGTCCTTCATTCAGGTGGGATCTGCCTTCTCCGTTCTGCTCCATTCCTTCACCCCCATGGTCCCCCCTGAAACCCTTTCTCTACTCCTAATTCCCTTGGTAAATTGCCCATCCCCCAGACCCGCCGTCCACCACAGGTAACGTATGTAACCAGGGTCTGCCCTACTCGTTCCGGTCCCTCCCTTACATCCTCTGGTCCCGTCGTTCCCCCACTGTTCCTTCTTTCGAATAAGGTATACCCTTAACACTCTAATCCCTACCTTCGCTCCCTTGATCCCTCTATCCTCCCCTGGTCTACAGGTCAATAAGGGTCTGTTCATCCGGTGCGTCCGTTCACTCCCTAATTCCCTACTTCCTCCCTGGTCTTCCACACAACCAGGGTCTGCCCTTCCCGTGCTAGCTCACCATATAACATCCCCTGGTTGGACGGCCAGCCAGGATGATTCCCTCATGAAATTCACTTCAACCCTGGGTGGGAATTTCTCCACTACCTCGTCTCTACCTCTGTCCAGAACCTGGTTCCCTTCCCCCACCCTAAACCCTTTAGAGTTTCTCTTCCTCGCACCCCGTGTCAGTCACCTCTTTTGAAGCGTTTGTGCAACCTTTTCCCCTCTGCACGTCTCACACTATCCATCCGTGCACGCTCCCTAGTAGGATGGTGGCTTTACTAGAGGTGGCATTTGACAACCAGAAGTCGAAGTGGCACATCGTGAAGATACATGGCGTCAGCCACGTCACCTCCTCTATCACGGCACGCGGCGTCCCCCAGGAGTACTCATCGAACTGCTACGAGCACGGACACAAAACAACAGTGAAGAGGCCATCTCGCGGGTCAAACTGGAAGAATGTGGGGGAGCGCATCGTCAAGAAGCACATCCAACACGCTGTGGTGCGTCAGCTAACCCGCGAGGTCGGGGGCGACGCGTCGTACGAGACGGCCATGAAGCAGGTATGGAGCGGTTTGATGGGTGGCCAAAGGGGTGGAGGGATTCGAACTCCATGCGTTTCCAGGTACCCTAGCTGCCCTATTCCCATATTTCTCCAAGTGTATAGACGGACCTACCCCTTAGCCAACCCCGTAACAACCTCGTGCCTAACACGCCACTGCCGCTTCCATCCTCCAAATGCCATACACGGCACAGGCATCCCTGAGGAACCAGCGTGTCCTCACCAAGACCCACAAGAAGATGGAAGCGGGGGACACACGGGATCCTGTCTTCCGCAATTACATGAGGACCGCGGGGGTGCTGGCGATGCACGAACTGGAGGAGCGCCTTCGCCTCGCCAAGATTAAGACGCGGACAATCTTTGTACGTTAACTAGACCCTGAGGCATGGGTTTGGGGATTGGGATGGAACGTGAGGGCGGGGCAGGGAGTGGCAGGGTGACTGGGCACCTTATGGCAGGGAGGAGATGGCCGTGAGTGGGAGGGAGTGGTATGGCTTGGAAGGTCAAGGGACGGAATGGACAGTGATGGGAGGGAATGTATGGGCATGGCATGGAATGGGAGGGTATGGACAGGGACGGGAGGGAATGGATTGGGAAGGCATGGAATGGGAGGGTATGGACAGCGATGGGAGGGAATGGATGGGGATGGCATGGAATGGGAGGGTATGAACAGCGATGGGAGGGAATGGACGGGGATGGCATGGCCTGGGAGGGTATCCCAGGGATGGGAGGGAATGGATGGGGATGGCATGGAATGGGAGACTGCATTGACTACTTGGCTACCTCAGCTCTTAGGGTCCCATTTAATAAATGGGCATGGCATGGAATGGGAGGGTATGGACAGAGATGGGAGGGAATGGGAGGCCATGGACGGGGATGGGAGGAAATAGGAGGGAATGCACGGGGATGGGGGGAATTGGAGGGAACGGGGTAGGAAGGAATCACTGAGAATGGGAGTGGGAGTGGGAGGGAAAGGGCCGCGAACAGCAAGCTCTCGCAGGATTTGGAGAGAGAGTCAGGGAATAGCAAGGAATGAGTCAAGTGGGACGGGGAGGGGGCCTTGGGAGCGGTACCAGTGGGATTGGTGGGGTTTGGCCAGTGAATGGCATGGAATGGCAGCAATTTGGTGGGACCGGGCTCTCTTTTTTCCACACCCTAAACCCTACCGTGGCCCCTCTGTCCACGTCTCCCCTCTATCCCCTCCTGAGCTCAATCCGTCTAATCATACAATATGACTATCATGTGCCATGGTACCATGCCTCCTTGCCAAGCGCTGCCCTCCCATCTACGATAATTCAAGGCACACTCGTGCCCCCTCTCTACACCCACCCGCCTTCCCTGAACTCCCCCCATTGCCCCCTACCCTAAACCCAGGTCCACACAGCCATGGCCATCCCCCCCCATGACAGCATGGAGTGGACCTCAAAGGGCCAGTTCGTGAAGGCGAGCCCTCACGAGCGCCTCTTCTCTGACGTCTCGATCAGGCCTGGCGGCGGCGTGGGGGAGCCGTGGTATGGTCGTGTCCTGGTGCTTTTCCATTACCAGGATGGGGAGGTGGAGAAGCGCGGGGCGTTCATCCAGTACTACACCGAGGCGCAGAAGCCTTGCCCCATCACCGGGTGCAAGCGCCTGACGCCAACCTTGGGCATCGACAACTATGCCGTTGTGGACGTGGACAGCATCCTGAGCCTTGCACATGTGGTTCCGTGCTGCACGGACCCGAAGTACCGGCTCGTTAACCGGTTTCTTTTCTGAACCACCGGTTGCGCTCTTATTTATGCATGACTTTGTTTAAATTGACCTTGTCTTAGAGGTTGACAATTGAGTGACTCGTACTGAGCATGATACTTTTAGTTTGCAGCGACAACCATTCACAGTGCTCGCAGCAGGTGATGACCCCACTAATAATATAGCAACAAACCCTATCATTTTTATTTCCCACACATGATATATTCCATACATAAACAATTACGTTCGAACATAACAAAAAAAACACAGGAGTGTACTACGATTGGACAGACGCTTATCGCTTTGAAATCATAGGGTTTAGAAATCGTAGCTTTTGCAAAACATACATTTTACATTTACACCCTGCCAAATGCTACGCGAACGTTCTGCGAATGGTATTTGAATGTTCTGCAGATAGTCGGCATCCTCGCTCCACCTCGAATGGTTTTTAGATTGCCACTTTTTTGCGATGATGCGCCGCGAATGGTGCTGTTGTAAAGCTATACCTCACGAGCAGCGTCAGCCGGCTCTTGCTCCCGCCGACGCCGCGCCTTTGCAACCGTACCGCGCGAGAACTAGGCGGGAAATTCCCCGCGACTCTTTCCGCTTCTATCGGCCAGTTGACGGATCTGGTCCGCCTCCAACTTCCCAATCTATGGCTCGCTGGTTCGGTACCGCGATCGCTTTCCCGGCTTACTAAACTTCGGCTTCTCAATCTCAAAGTTAACTGCTTCGCTGGTCCTCTTCCCGTCGCCTTTTTTCGCATGCCGAATCTCTACTCTCTGTCCGCGTCGCGAAATTTCTTCTCCGGCGGGATACCACAGCCTCCTGCTGCGTACGTCGCGATATTTTCGTTATCATATCTGGATCTCAGGAGGAATTTTCTTTCCGGGCCGATTCCACCTGCCCTTCTGGAAATGGATTTGGTCGATCTTGCTCTGGATCAGAACCGGCTTTCGGGTGACTTGAGCGGGCAGCAGATAAAAGCTTCCTTCATTGGCTTAAGCCGGAACAGGCTGTCAGGAAATCTCAACAAGATCCAGTTCAGCGAGTGGGTAATCTTCATCGACTTCTCTGAGAATCTTTTCTCGGGCACCTTTCCGCAAATCCTGTGCAGGAACTTGGCCTACCTCTTAGGCGTTAATTTTTCACGTAATCGCCTGACCGGAGCCGTTCCAGCAAATTGTTTCAAGCCTGCAAATGGGGTCCTGGCCTTCTCCTTGAGCCGCAACAACTTCTCGGGCAGCTTGCAGCCTTTTTCAAGCCTGCCCAAGGGCATCTTGGATGTGGACCTGGCATTCAACAAGTTCGCAGGGAGAATTCCCCAAGGCCTCACCACTTTACCCCAGCTAGAATACTTAAACCTGCGGTCAAACTATCTGACAGGTAAGCTGACCTGAAAACTGCAGGTTAGTCCACTAGCTGTGAATATTATAAGGGGTATGAAGCTGTCCGTACTTTCACTTCCTCTATCCCAAACCCGCGATTTTCCATCCTACCCCATCTTTCAAGGCCAACGGGCCCTTACCTCCTGCAGCCCTAACCCTTCGTGGTTTCCATTGGCCTTCCCCCCCTTTCCCTCCTCCCCTCCCCACCCCTCAGGCCCCATCCCCCCCTTCTGCCAGGGCCAGCAAGCCCTTCTCTACCTCAACCTCGCCTTCAACGCCCTCTCTGGCCCGCCCACCCCTCTCTCCTCCCCCTCCTGCGCCCCCTCCCTCAACACCCTCTACCTCTCCTCCAACCAACTCTCCGGCTCCATCCCCGCTACAATCAGCTCATTTAAAAGCCTCCAATGGCTGCTTCTAGATAAAAACGCCCTCACAGGGGCGATCCCGGCTGGGGTGAGCGGCATGCAGCAGCTGTGGGGACTGGGCGTGTCATACAACCGGCTGTCGGGTCCCATTCCCGCGGCTTGGCCGCGAACTATCGGCCAGGTGCTGCTGGCAGGGAACCGGCTGTCAGGGGCTGTTCCTGCTGCTCTTAGCAAGCTGAAACGGGCTTCCTTTAAGCCAGGAAACCCTAACCTGTGCGGAACACCGCTGCCTGCTTGCAAATAGAACCTCTCCTGTGTATAATAATGTCACGATTTGTGTGATGCTACAGTATTAAAGGAATGGGCTGGTTTGTCGCACAAGTTCGGTGCAACTAACGCATTTCTGAAGTTTGGTTGGCGACAGCCTTCTGCCTGCCAGGTGGTGGGGGAATGAATCAACATTCAACGGTTGTTCCATCTGTTGTTCTGCTCTGAACAAACTAAATATGGAAGACGCTTGTCTGTTTGCTCAGGAAGGAGTAAGTGCCCATAGACAGACGTATCAAAGGGTGGAGGTTTTTAATGAAAACAAGTACGGTACCGGTACGTTATTGAAAACGCAAGATGATACGGAATGAAATGGGTGCTTTATTGCAGATAAGGGATGATAGTGTCAACAAATATACTTGTCTATACTAGGTAGAGTATATTTGTTATAGCCTTAGTTAGGTCAGTTCTTAGAGGGTACATTCCCACCTTTGTAACCCTCAGCCTTTCCCCCTTAGTCACATTCCTTTCCTCTCGACATTCTAACATGGCATCTAGAGCTACCGTAGGTCTCGCCCTCTACTCACGCTTCCGCCCTAGCACACCCTAGCCTAGCGCACCTCGCCCCTAGTTGCGCGCCTCGTAGATCGTCCCCTCCCTGCCCTCCCCAGCTCGTCACATAGCTCGTGTCAGCTAGCGCCAGCCGCCACCAGCTAGTGCCGACCAGCGCCAGCCGCCGCTAGCCCGCACCACACTGGCGCCTTAGTTAGTCGCCGATCAGGGCTGACGTTTCAAAAAAACCCACTCTGATTTTGGCCCCAAAATTTTTCCCCAAGTCTGAGTAGCCAGGTTTCAGTTTCCATGGTAGTCTGATTTCTCAGGATCCAGTGACTCTCAAGTCTGATTTCTTCAGGGTTCGCAAGTATTAATCAGAGTCATTTGCCATTTACTCGCCATTATTTCATAACATTCGGGCAGTTAACCTACACCTGGTCTAATTTCCTAGCCTAGCTAGAACTCTGGCACATCCACAGCGACGACATCCTCCGCCTCATCATCCGACAGAAAGGGGTTGTCTTCTATAGCTACTGCACCTCCACCATCTCTCTCCCCCCCCTCCTCCTCCTCCTCCTCATCCCAATCCTCTCCTAAGTAGTCTGGCACTGGAGGTTCCTGCTCTGCCTCTTCCAGCAGAGCCTTGCCTTTGCGCTTCCTCTCTTGTGATGCGAACACCACCGACTTGGCTGGTCTTCTCTTCTTTGCGTGCCACAGCTCCAGCGCCTCCTGCCAGTTGATGTCGTATCTCAGCAGTGAAATCATCATCAGCTCACCCAGGCGGGCATTGCACAGAGCACCACGGACCCAAGACTTGATCACGTTCTGCCTGGAAAAACCACGCTCGCACTCCACAGTTGAGAATGGTAACACCGCGCATGCTTGCCAAAGAAGCATGAGGTTGGGCCAGCGCCTGTTTATGGAACAACCACACACAAGATGCGTGGAACAATAGATTTATGAATAAACTACAAGCATGGTGGGAAAGGAACAATAGAAGTAGATACAAACATAGACAGTTAGGGTGGTCAAACTGGCAAAAACAATCATAAACAGGCAGACTGAGCAACGTGCTTTCGAGGCTCGACTTACCTGCTTGAATCCGTGTTGCCAAGGTAGTTCGTGAGGCCCTGGAAGAAGCCCTCCTCGTTGTGGTGGTTCTGCATGATCGGGGCCCAAGTTGCCAGCTTCTTCTCCGCCTCCTTCAAATCGAACCCGGGGAGCTTGTCGTCGAAGATGGCACTGCAGCCATGGAGATAGTCCCTCGTCTTCTTCTCCCTCACCATCCGATGCCGCGGCCACTTGCCCGCCCGAAACAACTTCGTCGGCCCGAGCTTCGACAGGTCGTCCAGCCGCTCCAGCAGGTTCGTCATGCTCCCCCTCGCAAACTTCGCGCACAACAGTTCGCAGTCCCGATAGTTGCTCTAGTAGACGTGCCCCTTGATCTGCCGCTCGTGCATCTGGTACGTGTGCGTCACCGGCTGCCCGTCCTTGTCAACGCCGCGCACCTTCACTTTCTTCGGCCCCCCTCGCCCGTACACGGTTAAGAAAGCCGAGAGCCACGTGCCGCTTACGCCCGCACCAAAAACCCCGCCGCACTCCAAGTAGCGGTGCCGAAGATCCCCCACCGCCTCGTCGGCGTCCTGTGTTATCTCGGTAACATCCCCCTGCGGTCGGGTGGGGAGGGGGGGGGGTGGTGGAAACAAGGGGGCGCAAATCAAGGGGCAGAATGTTAGAGCTGATTGTGAAAGAACATACCACAAGCTCACATGCAAGGGCTCACCTCTCGCTTCTGAAACTTGAGGTTGAGCTCGTTCAAGGCGAGGACGTCCGCCAGGAAGAAGAGACAGAACTGAAACTTGTATGAGATGACAACCTCGTACAACTAATGGTTATACTCATACAGTAAAACGATGGCAGCACCAATGACCTTACAGAGGCATCTGACTGCCTCGCCCCTGGACAGCCACCAAATCGCGTGGATTCCTTGAACGTCAAGGTTGGTCTTGTGGATGACACGCTGCAGGTACTTGAACCGCTGGCTCCACACGCTTGAACGGCCGAGGAGATCGGCCAGAGTTCGGATAACCTTGTCGACCATGTCCAAGTCTGGACAGGCAGACGCGGCGTCCTTCACAGCCAGAGCTTCCCTGCGCACAGTCCATAGAAAAAGATTAGCAAACGATTAAAAGAAAAAAGCGAGAACATAAGTGAACAAGATTATACCGGTAGGCGATGCAGTGGGACGACACAAGGTGAGGGATGTGCTCGCGGAGCCGCGCCACGAGACCGTTCTCGCGCCCAACCATGACGGAAGCGTCATCGGTGCTGATTCCCGCGATGTAGTTGAGTTCGATGCTGGCGCCTTGAAGATGAGTGAGGAGCACGGAGAGCATGGAGGCGGCGTCGCACTTCTCGACGGTGAGCAACGAGAAAAACTCGGTGACGACGCGGCGATGGCGGAGGAACGTGAGGTACACTATCAGGTGCTTCCCTCTGGTACGATCAGTGCTCTCGCCGCAACTGATGCCGATGAACGGGGACGATTGAATGTGCCGCATCTGGGTCCGTTGAAGAAGAGTCGCCAAGCAGTGGACCATCTGTTGAAAGCCATACCTGCACGCAGTAGAGAGAGTAATTGTTAAAATATTCCAACGGGCCATAGTAATGGAATGTACTCGCGGGTACTTACAAAGTGAGGTAAACACCATAAGACTGGAGCGGTATGTCCGGGGTGTTCTGCTCAGCCATAAAGCGACATAGCCGAGGAAACATGCTGATGGGAGCATCGACCTTACAGAGAAACTCAACAGCGCGGAGCAGTCGCACGACCCGCCTCCCTTCGACATCCAACGACAAATAGTTGTCGATCCTCTTCTGCCCATCGGCGATGTCGTCGGCAATCTTCAGCTGGGCCTCCACAGCTTCCTTGTGTGCAGAGAAGTGTTCGTGTATGCGCATGGTCTGTGTCTGCAGGTCTCGGCCACCATCGCCCGAAGAGCCGTACTTGGTGGTCTCCTTCCCAAACGTCATGCACACACTGCACTTGAGAGCAGGGTAACTGTCTTTTGTTTTGGTTAGCAGTAGCCATGGAAAGAAAGGCAGCCATGAAATTTTGTACTTTGCTTCAGCGACGAGGTATTTCTGCTCTATCAATTCCTTCTTACTCAGCTTTGGCGGTGGCGGTTCAATGACGACAGGGACTGCACTAGGTGATGGCGGCGTGGACGGGCGGCGGAGCCTACCTCCGATCATGATTTGAGACTGGGTGTACTTGCCCGTCCGTTGTTTCTTCGCAGACGAAATCGTGGACGCGGAGGGCACGCTGTAGTGGACTGTGGTGGCGGTGACGCAGTTAACGGGCAGAGTCGGGCCTCTGCTGGATGAGGCGACGGCAGGCGGAGGGACATATGGTGGTGGCACGAAGGGCGCGGACGGAGGTGGGTTTAGAGCACGCTGGGTTTCCTCCACTGCGGAGAAAACCACAACAGCAACGATGGGAGGAGAACCTAACGACCGCAGCATGTCTATCGCGGAGCGACGAACCTCTGCAGGCTCCTTACTATGAGGTGGTTCATCGGCGCGGGGCTCATCGTCTTCTTCTGAAGGAGTCCCCGTCATGGCTGTTGATGGGGTTGACAAACAAGAACCTACATGAGGAGGACAACTCCGAAACACGAATTGAGGAGTAAGATTTACAAACCCCGTGTAAAAGCCTGAGTGCGCCTGAGAGGAGGGGGAGGGATGAGAGGGACGAAGAAGAAGGGCACCATCAAGCCTGAGGCACGTGTTTCTTGGTTAACCCTCGTCGTCAGCTTCTGGATGGCAGCCCCTTCCAAACCCGCGCCGCCATGCCAAACATGAGCTGACGTTACGAACGAACCATGTGTTGGCATGGACTGTCGCCAATCACGGTTGGTCGGACAGTTTTGCACATGCCAGCGATGACAAGATTCCCGCGTTACTAGCCTTTGATGGCTTCCAACAAACCCGTGTAGAAGTCCTTAGCATGCACGCGTGGCAGGACGCATGACGCGCTGAGCGGCAAAGTCCCTGTTGAGGCAGCATCACAGTCACAGAAGGGGCGGGAAGCCTGCCAAGTGCAGATACTTTACGTGAGACGTGCGGGGGTGAAATGATGGAAGGCAACATATGACGTAGTAGAGGAAATCTCGTGGAAAGTACAAGGTGCATGGATGTCGCATTCAGAGTCCATACGCGATGTACTCTGAAACCTCAGTATCCGCACAACGACTACTCTGAAAACTTCAGGATCCAAAATCTTACAACTCTAGAGGGTTCAGTATCTAGAAAAGCCTAAGTCTGGAAAATCAGGATTGGCAAAAAAATGGGTCTGAAATTTCAGACAATCATACTAAAATAGTCTGATAAAATCAGCCCTGTCGCCGATCCCCCCCCCCCCGACCCCGCTCGTTCGTAGCTCGTCCCTGTCGCCGGCCAGCGTTAGCCCGCGCCAGCTCGCCAGCGCCAGCCAGCCTGCCAGCTCGCCAGCGCCGGCTCACCTGCGTTAGCCAGCACCAGATCGCCAAAGCGAGCTCGCC